TTACAAATGAGGAAACAGTCCAGAAAGGCAAATTGCTCAAAGACACACAACTCCTTGAGCAAGAACTAAAACACAGACCTCTGACACAGTGCTCTTTTGCCTAACCTATATGATAATAATAATAACTTTATGTATACATACATATACATGTGTGTGTGTATGTATATTACCTCACTCAATCCTTGCAACAACCAGTGGGGTAGCTCATGTTTTTCCCTATTTTAGGAGTGGGTTTCCCTGGTGGCTCAGACAGAAAAGCGTCTGTCCACAATGCGAGAGACCCGGGTTCGATCCCTGGGTCAGGAAGATCCCCTGGAGAAGGAAATGGCAACCCATTCCAGTATTCTTACCTGAAGAATTCCATGGACAGATGAGCCTGGCAGGCTATAGTCCATGGGATCACAAAGAGTCAGACACGACTGAGAAACTTCACTTCACTTCCCTGATGAAATTAAAGCATACAGAATTTACATGACCTGCGAAGATGACCCAGTTAGTAAGTGACTAGGACTTGAAGCTCCCAACGTAGGGGGCCCAGATTCAATCCCGGGTTGGAGAACTGGAAGGAAAGCTATGACCAACCTAGACAGTATATTAAAAAGCAGAGACATTACTTTACCAACAAAGGTCCATCTAGTCAAGGCTATGGTTTTTCCAGTGGTCACGTATGGATGTGAGAGTTGGACTATAAAGAAAGCTGAGCGCCAAAGAATTGATGCTTTTGAACTGTGGTGTTAAAGAAGACTCTTGAGAGTCGCTTGGACTACAAGGAGATCCAACCAGTCCATCCTAAAGGAGATCAGTCCTGGGTGTTCATTAGAAGGACTGATGTTGAAGCTGACGACTCCAATACTTCGGCCACCTGATGCGAAGAGCTGACTCATTTGAAAAGACCCTGATGCTGGGAAAGATTGAGGGCAGGCGGAGAAGGGGATGACAGAGGATGAGATGGTTGGATGGCATCACCAACTCAACGGACATGGGTTTGGGTGGACTCCGGGAGTTGGTGATGGACAGGGAGGCCTGGCGTGCTGTGGTTCATGGGGTCACAAAGAGTTGGACATGACTGAGCGACTGAATTGAACTGAACTGGAGAACTGGATCCCACATGCTTCAACTAAAGATCCCACATGCTACAAAAGGACCAGGCACAGCTAAACAAATAAATTTTTTAAAAAATTTTTAAGTGTGGGATATGTTTAAATAACAGTTAGTAGTCCATTCTTACTACAGGCCATCTGTGCTTAAGGGCTTAATGGGAAATAAACCTACAGAAGTCCATTAGACTTGAATTAGGTTCTATTCAATTTAGCAGGTGTTGAAAAGACTTTATATGTATATAATTCCTTTTCTACTCACAATACCACAAAGGAACTACTATGATTTCTAGTTACAAAAAAAAGAGGTCCCAAATCAGGATATAAAGACACGCAGTCAAATCTTAGAGCCTACCTTAACCACTTACCACAAAACCATGATGGAGAGATGGAAGGCAGACAGTACATCATGAAGATGCTGCAACTGGCCAAGAAAGGAACTGTGGGGCCTAAACAGAGGTGATGACAGTGGAGAGATAGGAAGCCAAGCCACAGGACTGAATGGAGGAAGAGAAGGATGGACGGAGTCACAGGGGACTGCCAAGATGATGAGCCCAAGTGATTGGGAAGAGGCCTGGGTCAGCAACAGACACTCAGAATACAGAAACTAGTTCAGACATGTTGATTCTAAAACACCTTGTTTGGAGTGACCACATGGAGAACCACAAGAAGACTGAATGAAGCAGAGAGTTAAGACATGTGAAACACAGCTGGGGTCATCTCCAGAGCACTAAATCTAAATTTCATTTATAAAATGAAGTGAAAGTGAAATTGTTACTTGCTCAGTCGTGTCTGACTCTTTGCAACCTCACAGACTGCAGCCCACCAGGCTCCTCTGTCCACGGAATTCTCCAGACAAGAAGACTGGAGTGGGTAGCCATGCTCTTCTCCAAGGGATCTTCCCAACCAAGGGATCAAACCTGGGTCTCCTTCATTGCAGGTGGAGTCTTTACCATCTGAGCTACCAGATGCTGAACTAAATGCTCTTGGATTTCATCCAGTATGAAAAGCAGAATTCCTATCAATGATTGTCTACTGGGTTTTGCCTCAAAGTTATTTTTGTTGGTAATCAAGTAAGAAAAGCAATGAACTTGGATACTGTTTCAGTCAATAATACTGAGTTTCCAATATACAATTTTTACAGAAAATTAAGATTTGTTACTCTTGTATCTATAAGCTTTTGAAAATCTAATATTTAGTCCCCATTTAAAAATTTCATTTCTTGGAATTTAAATTTTTTTACTTGATTTTTGTTTTGTTTGTGAGCTTTGAAATCAAAATTTTATAAGAAAAAGGGGAAAGTAGCTAATATTTACTGTGTACCTACTATGTGCCTGGCACCCTGCATATATAATTCCTCCTTAAAATACAGTCTCATGGGGAATAGGTAATTTTAACCCCATTTTACAAATGAGGCTTATAGGTTAAATAATTTGACCAAAGTTAAAAGCTAATTAAGCAAAGTAAAATGAGCTTTACCTTTAACAGACTTCCTATTATTGGCGCTTTTATTACAATGTCGGCTAATAAGAGATGAAGGTAAATGTTCTCTTTCCCAGAGGTATTTAAGAACACTGTTTAAAGACGTATGCGCCTACCTAAATGTCCATCAACAGAGGAATGGATAAAGAAGATGTGGTACATATATACTATGGAATACTACTCGGCCACAAAAAGGAACAAAAGGGTGCCACTTGCAGAGAGATGGATGGACCTAGAGACAGTCACACAGGGTGAAGTAAGTCAGAAAGATCAAAAACAAATCCTGTGTATCAACACATATATGTGGAATGTAGCAAAAGAGTACAGGTGAACTTATCTGCAAAGCAGACATAGAGACACAGAGGTGTACGGATACCAAGCTGGAAAGAAGGGGGCGTAGGACGGATGGGAGATTGGGATTGATATTCACTACTTACTATGTATAAAACAGATAACTGATGAGGACGAACTGTAGACAACAGGGACGCGAGTCAAGGCTCTAAGTGACCTAGAGTGCTCTAAGCGACCCAAATGGGAAGGAAATTCAGAAAAGTGGTGACTGAGGTAAACACAGAGCTGATTCACTTTGCTGTAGAGCAGACTCGAACACAGCATCGCAGAGGAACTATACTTCAATAAAAAAAATTTTTTTAAAGAGGTATGCTCACACTCAGAAGATCTAGTTGTGCTAACAAATAGCATGGAAGAAGGTGCCCACATTGCAGTCTGATGAGAACCAGCTGTGACTTTAAATCTGAATTTTGCCATATTCAATTTGTAGCATTTGGCAATCTACTTAACCAATCTGAGACACAATTTTCTCAGCTATAAAATTCAGAATTGTAAACGGTCATTTACAAGGTTATTTTGAGGGTCAAGAAAGAAGAGAAAGCGCATCCATGAAAGCATCAATCCCATGCCTGTTCAGGGTACTTAATAAATACATTTCCTTTTTCTTTCCAAAAACTTTCAGTCCCTGGAATTTATCACTGCTATATAGGCCTTGTGTAAAGAATATTTATCATTTCTCAATTATTATGTTAATGGTCAGCTTTATTGAATTTGAATTAGCAGTGCACATTGAGGGGGGAGGGTTTAAATGAGCGAGGCAAGTGACTCATTTTAAATCTTTGATAAGTGGGTAACTAAAAACATAACCATATGAAAATTAATTATTGGTCTGCTTGGCATGAACCCATTAAAATTTATAGGTGAAATAAGTTCCATATGCTAAACATTGAGCACATGCAGGAAACTAGAAACCCATACCTGCAGCTGACTCACTAACGTCAACTCCCAGCAAAGCCAGCACCTCTGATTCATTCATTCATTGTACAATAAATTTCAACTAAATGGCATACATATCGAACAAAGATTTAAATTTATAAGTAGGTCTTTCCTGGGGCAAAAGGTGAAACAGCTTGTTCATAAGTAAGCAAAGATTCTAGAAAGACCACTGCTTTGTAGCCCTTTCATTTTTATAATTGTGACTCCATCCTTTCCTCAAATGCCCTTTTTTTCCCCTCATCAAAAAAAGTACTCCAAAATATATGTGATTAATTCATTTTCATTAAAATGTAAATTTTAAATGATAAAGCTTAATGTCTCCCAGGGGTATTCAACTACACTGTAACTGGGAACAAGATCATTGGCCTAAATGAAAGGAATGAGATTCTAGTAGTGAATGCTAAGCATCTGCAAAGCCACAAAAAAGTTTTTATCATAAGAGTCTTTGTGTTACTCCCCAAGTCAACTCAATAGGTCTCTTAAAACAGGATACCCCTGAAGCGCCCTTATCCAGTCCCCCAAAATACTGATCTCATAAAGAAGGTGCTCATTAGGGTCACAAGGCCCTCATTCTGCTTGTGCGGACACCACCATCACCACCACTACAATAGCCACCAACTAGCCTTAGCTTCCTGGGATTCTGATCCTATTGTGAAATTAGGACTGTTGTTAAAGCCTCGGCGTGGGTGAGAATGAGTTCACGCCCAGGAAGGGCCACTGGGTGAGGAGGAGCCGTGACTTCACTACTGTGTATGAACCCAACCCCTTTACTCAGAAAAGAGTAACAGCTGCCAGTAAAACAGAGGACAGTCACAGCAAAGTTAATTTTAAGTTCAAAAAGGAAACTCCTGGGGACTTCCCTGGTGATTTAGGGGCTTAGACTCCCCACTTCCACTGCAGGGGGTGTGGGTTCGATCTCAGGTCTGGGAACTAAGATCCCACACATGCTGTGTGGTGCGCCAAAAAACAAGGGGGAAAAAAAAATGAAAGTCCTTCTGGGACTGAACAAGTCTCTGTAAAATGTTTCCCACTAGAAATTCTATCTAGACTGGCAGAGTTTTTAACACAAACGTGTAAGCCTCCCACACCCACCCCAGCAGAGGAAGACAGCTGAGCTTCCCTCATGTAACTTACCTGAGATCCATATCTCCATCCACCCAGAAGGTGAAAATGTTTGAGACGGTTCCCCCTGGGCAACACCCCATGATGAGGACAGCCATAGCTTGGAGGGGCTTCAGAGAGAAGCTGATGATCAGGAGGTAGGCGATAAGAGGCATGAGCCCAAACTGGCAGAGCAGTCCCACAGCGATGCCCCAGGGTCTCCTGATGTGCCCCCAGAGCTTCTGGACCTCCACAGAGCATCCCAAGGAGAACATCAGTAGGCCGATCATCAGGGCTGACACCACCGTGAACACGAGTTCCAGGTTCCCGTACGCCTTCAGGCCCTCTGGCAGCTCCTCCGCCGAACTGTTGGCCAGGCAGGCCGAGCCGCTGGAACAATTTGCTCTCATCTCCTTATCTCCTTAAGGCAGCATCACAAATGAACGTCCTGCTCTGATGGCTGGGCAGGTCTATCCTGCTGTATTTTGTAATAATGCCACCAAGTCACACGAGGAGGATCATTCCAGGAGCCAAGGGCCAGCCAGGTGATTCACCCTAATTTGGTCAATTTATCCACAAGTGGTATTATAAAAGTAATAATCATGGCCAAGAAACATAAATAAACTGTGGTAAGGAAGGCTCTCCACATCTACTGATACTCACGGGTGAACATTTAAGTGAAATGAGACAGGCAAACTTGCTGTCAAGTGGAGCAACTAGTGCGCCATCAGCAGTCACGTTGGATCCCAGGAAAGGAGGCTGGTTGGCAAGACATAATTTCTCCAGATTCAGGAGGGATTTCCAAGAGCCAGGATGCAATGTTTTGCAGAGAGAAAGGCTAACTCTGGGGGGAAAGAAAAAAACAAAGGCAGCTAAGCCAAAGCCACACCTCATAGCATGAGCAAAACACTTCAGCCTGGAGAATTCTATGAGGAGCACAGAGGAGCCTGGCGGGCTACAGTCCATGGAGTCACAAAGAGGCGGGCACAACTGAGTGACTAACACTTTCCCTTTCTGTTGAAGAAATTAAAACAAAAGAAGGCCAGTTAAAGAAATGTCAGGAGGGAATAAGGATCATTTCAAGAGAGCTTTGGAATTAGTCTCACTTTTTCTTCTTTCTATTTCTATTAGAATGTGTGTCTAAAACCAATGATTAAAGGCCTGTTAAGAGTAATACGAAGTTAAGGACCCGGTGCATCTCGTGAAACATGTGGAAACTCGTTTCTGATCTGAACCCAAAATAACTCAAGAGAAAGGTCACTTTCCTTCAGAGAATAGAGTCAGCTTTGAGATGCCCCACCCCTGGGTCTTGAGGTGAGGTCTGGGAATTCAGCAATGAGATGTGATAAAGGGCTTGTCTGGGGAAGGCTCAGGACAGAGGCTGAGGTCAGCCTGTGACCACAATGGCCTGGGGCCTCTCTGCGTGTCTTACCCACACAATCACATGTTTTGTTGGCAAAACCAGGCGATAAAAGAACGGTCCCATGAAACTAAGGCTCCAAAACAGTAGACACCACACCCGTTCTCATTGAAAGCAGGAAGGATATTTGTGGCACAGAGGCTGAGGACAGGGAACACTTTATAAATGGTCCCACGTGTCTTCAGAGTGACACTAGCTCTGCATTGTTTATTTCTGGATTAGCAAATTACTTTCCATGACAAAATGCTCTGGGCATGCTTGCTGTATACAAAAACAAGCTGAATTTTACAATGCGAAATGAAATCTCACTATTTGCAGGAAGTATAAACTGACTCAGGCAACCTACACCCCCAAAAGCAGCTCCGAAGGGAGAACTTTGCTGGAGGCCATTCACAAGTCTTATTTTATGCCCAAGAACAAAGTAACGTCTACAGCAAGCTTGTTGAGCTTGTCAGGAGACAACCCAGAACCATCTGCATTGTGCCTATGCAGAGTCAAGCAAAGAAATGGTCTTCCCTGGTGGCTCAGCTGGTAAAGAATCCGCTGCAATGAGGGAGACCTGGGTTCGATCCCTGGGTTGGGAAGATCCCCTGGAGAAGGGAAAGGCTGCCCACTCCATTATTCTGGCCTGGAGAATGGAGAATTCCGTGGACTGTATAGTCCATGGGGTCGCAAAGGAGTCAGACACGTTGAGTGACTAAACAACAAAGCGAGAGAGACATGCTAGGTTATTTGCACATATGTGGCTATGTCTGGTGAAGCAGAACATTTTTTTAACCTTATTTAGTAAGAAAGTATCAGATTATTTCTGTTTGGGTAATGTCAAAAAGTCCCTTGGGAGATCTTTGTTACTGAAAGAATCACTTGAACAACTCTTCTTAGTGATACAAATGTAAGTTTACTAAGCCATACCCAATAGATGACCAAGTGAAAGAAACTACGGTGATTTGGTTTTGCCACTCAGCTCTAATAGCTGGAAAATGAAATGAAATGTTAGTTGCTCAGTCATGTCTGACTCTTTGCCATCCCCTGGAGTGTAGCCTGCCAGGTTCCTCTGCCCATGGAATTCTCCAGGCAAGAATACTGGAGTGGGCTGCCACTCCCTTCTCGACCCAGGGATTGAGCTCGAGTCTCCTGAATTGCAGGCAGATTCTTTACCGTCTTAGCCACAAGGGAAGCCCTGAGGAGGGCGCTAAATTTGCAAAGTAAACTTAAGTAGTCTCCGAACACAAAGGTGACCTTGGCCACTTGCCTTTTAAAATATAGTGTTATCATAATTCCGTGCGCTCGCCCCTCCCGTCCTCTTTCCGCCATCTTTCCGTGCCGCCAGAATGGTGCGCATGAATGTCCTGGCTGATGCTCTCAAGAGTATCAACAACGCCGAAAAGAGAGGCAAACGCCAGGTGCTTATTCGGCCGTGCTCCAAGGTCATCGTCAGGTTTCTAACAGTGATGATGAAGCATGGTTACATTGGCGAATTTGAAATCATTGATGATCACAGGGCTGGGAAAATTGTTGTGAACCTCACAGGCAGGCTAAATAAGTGTGGAGTGATCAGCCCCAGATTTGATGTGCAACTCAAAGATCTAGAAAAATGGCAGAATAACCTGCTCCCATCCCGTCAGTTTGGTTTCATTGTACTGACAACCTCAGCTGGCATCATGGACCATGAAGAAGCAAGACGAAGACATACAGGAGGGAAAATCCTTGGATTCTTTTTCTAGGGATGTAATACGTACAAATAAAATGCCTTAGAGGAAAAAAAATAAAATAAAATAAAATAAAATATAGTGTTATCAGAATTTCTCAAATGAAGTAGGATGATTCCAACTGAGGTCCATTGACAGGAATAGTTATTATTAAAGTCTAATTAGACACCAAGAAAGGGATGTCTGGACTGGGTGACAAGTTCCTCTGGACCCAGTTGTCTTGGGAGAGATGTCACAGGGTGATAAGACATGGTGACTGAGTACATGGACGTAGCTGGAAAAGAAGTAACCTTGAGAGATCAAGCTTGGGCACCACCATGATGTGTGCAAGGCAGCAGTGAGAGCGGACCCACTGGCCTTGGTAGAACCAATTTACTCAAAACATCCTGAGGCAGGAAGCAGATGGGCCCCTCCACCCCCGCCCCAGGATAGACACTCCAAGATGAAAATAGCAGGACAATCAGGGAGGAGGCTGAGCCCTGCCCAGACATAAGATAAGAGACCACATATTTCTCCTTCTCAAAGTCAGGAGACCTCCCTGACTACACATGCACAGAAAGACTCCTTGGAAGTCAAAAGGGGCGTGATGCTAAGTGATGCTAACTACACATAGACCTCTTTGGTGGAATCCATTGTGGCCAAGATATATGTGAGGACTCTGAGATGTACTAAATATGGACTCTGATCCAGGCAAATCAAAGTGACTGGCCAAAGAAAAAGTCAGAAGAAATGCCCCATAAAAGTGACTCAAACTACCACAAGGGCTCAACTCTGTCTCTGAGTCCACCCAAGTCTATCTACAGGTACTGGACTCTTTTTCCTCCTAAATAAACACTTTTCTTGTTTCACTACTTCTGTCTTTGTGGGAATTCTTTTCTGCAAAGCCAAGGAGAAAAGGAAAGATAGACCCATTTGAATGCAGAGTTCCAAACAACAGCAAGGAGAGATAAGAAACCCTTCCTAAGTGATCAATGCAAAGAAATAGAGGAAAACAATAGAATGGGAAAGACTAGAGATCTCTTCAAGAAAATTAGAGATACCAAGGGAACATTTCATGCAAAGATGGTCACAATAAAGGACAGAAATGGTATGGACCTAACAGAAGCAGAAGATATTAAGAAGAGGTGGCAAGAATACACAGAAGACTGTACAAAAAAGATCTTCACAACCCAGATAACCACGATGGTGTGATCACTCACCTAGAGCCAGACATCCTGGAATGTGAAGTCAAGTGAACCTTAGGAAGCATCACTACAAACAAAGCTAGTGGAGGTAATGGAATTCCAGTTGAGCTATTTCAAATCCTAAAAGATGATGCTGTGAAAGTGATGCACTCAATATGCCAGCAAATTTGGAAAACTCAGCAGTGGCCAAATGACTGGAAAATGTCAGTTTTCATTCCAATCCCAAAGAAAGGCAATGCCAAAGAATGTTCAAACTATTGTACAATTGCACTCATTTCACACGCTAGCAAAGTAATGCTCAAAATTCTCCAAGCCAGGCTTCAACAGTGTGTAAACCATGAACTTCCAGATGTTAAAGCTGGATTTAGAAAAGGCAGAGGAACCAGAGGTCAAATTGCCAACAGCTGCTGGATCATCAAAAAAGCAAGAGAGTTCCAGGAAAACATCTATTTCTGCTTTATTGACTATGCCAAAGTTTTGACTGTGTGGATCACAACAAACTGGAAAATTCTCAAAGAGATGGCAATACCAGACCACCTGACCTGTCTCCTGAGAACTCTGTATGCAGGTCAAGAAGCAACAGTTAAAACTGGACATGGAACAACAGAATGGTTTCAAATCAGGAAAGGGGTACATCAAGGCTGTATATTGTCCCCCCGCTTGTTTAATTTATATGCAGAGTACATCATGAGAAATGCCAGGCTAGATGAAGCACAAGCTAGAATCAAGATTGCCAGAAGGAATATCAATAACCTCAGATAAGCAGATGACACCACCCTTATGGCAGAAAGCAAAGAAGTAAAGAGCCTCTTGATGAAAGTAAAAGAGGAGAGTAAAAAAGTTGGCTTAAAACTCAACATTCAGAAAATTAAGATCATGGCATCCAGTCCCATCACTTCATGGGAAACAGATGGGGAAACAATGAAAACAGGAACAGACTTTATTTTCTTTGGCTCCAAAATAACTGCAGATGGTGACTGCAGCCATAAAATTAAAAGACGCTTGCTCCTTGGAAGAAACATCTTGACCAACCTAGGCAGCATATTAAAAAGCAGAGACATTACATTGCCAACAAAGGTCCATCTAGTCAAAGCTAT